CCGGACAGAAGAAGTTCCCGATTGCTATACGATGAATTGCGAATGAGAAACATTCCGTCCTGCGACGATTTCAAGTTGATAGACACTTTCTCTCCTCTTTCTCTCATGTATATATACATATATATATGCGTTTAAAACTTCAAAACTCTCACGACTATACAAACGAGCTGTTGGGAACACAAATTGCATTGTTGGGAAAACTTATAAAACTGCGAAAAGAGAGAACAATTACATTCTGTTAATACAAATACGACTACATATGCACACACATTGGGAAGAGTTTATTACGCGCAACAAATGTTATTGCAACTCACTTACTGTCGGCGAACACCGCCAATGAAGCAAGAAAGGGAACTCCAATCGATCTAAAGCGTCGTCGAAGAACAAAGGAAAACGTGACTTATCTGTCGAGGAAGATACCGTCACTTGTGTGTGATGACAAGGTACATGCGCGTCAAAAGCGCAACTGATTCATCGGCACGCAATGATTCGCTGCAAGCAATGACAAAGGTTACCCTTGAATCGCGGTCCCTATTTGGCTAGCGGGAGTTGTAAACCGGTCCTTATTCGCGAACGAGATATTTCCAATTTTGCGTCGCGAAACACCGACTTTTAAATACGCGCGACTCTCGTCCTTTTCGCACCGACAGCGCTTTGCAATTTTTTTTACGCGGTAAAACACAATCGTAAAAGCTGGCGAACATGCTTTAAAAAAAAAAAGGAAAAACACGACTCCTCATACGCGATTACCGACGCAAACAGGCTTCTCTCGTTGACGTAACGCTTGTTTTGCCAATGCGACTATTAGCAAGAGGAATATACATCTATTGTCATTATAACGTGGACGCCTAACGATGGAAATTTCAATTTACGAAGACATAAATTAGATATACCTGTACGTGCGGTTGAGCACGTTTTAACAGAATTTATTTGACGCTAATGTAAAATTAATATATTGATATCATTATATAAAAAAACAAATTTAATACCGACAATAGTGCAATATTGTATCAGATGACGTGTTGGAAAAAAAGCATCTGAGACTTTTTGGATTTTTTGTTTTTTTTTGTGCCTCGTCACAGAGTACATTGTCCGGGATTCGAAGCAGACTATAAAGACAGCACGCAATACTGCCACAGAATTGTGAGAAGTTTCCTGGCGATGTGTTTCGGAAGAAAATTTGCGCGGTTATATTTTTAGTTTTCTTGAAATATAGCAACAATAGACGAGAGTTCAAGGTGCGACAAAAATAAAGCACAGAGAGCACGACTGAAGGCGCAACCTTGGGGTGTTATGCAAGAAATGAAGCATAAAACAGTATGAATGACGCCAGTTGCGAGAGACAGAAAAGAAAGAGAGAGAGAGAGAGAGAGAGAGAGAGAAAGAGAGAGAAAAAGAAAGAGAAAGAAAGCTTCAGTTGTACAGAGGAAGTTTTCATTGTTTGCGAGAGATCTGCAACTCGTGGGCGATCGAAGTCGTGACGTCAGAGAGGCTTGTAATCCCTACCCTAACACGTCGTCACGATTTTCTCTCGTAATGTCATCCCACGGACTCTCTTTCCATGCTCTAAACATCGTCCCGCCGCAATCGCCAACGCGGGATGAGGCAAGATTATAATAAAAGCACAGAAGCGCCGTTAATAAGACCCGTGTAGCTAACGTGTCGCAAATCAAAGGATATTGTCTACACGTTGACTACACGTATAAAAAAAAAAAATATGCGGATCCCGTATATAAGAAGCTAGAAAATGAAAAAAAAAAAAGACTTTTCATCGATGATAATAATAATTTTTAACGGCGAGAGTTTTATTATAGTTGAATTTATTATTATAGTTGAATTTTTTATAGTTGAAGTGATGTGAAAATTCAGTATTTTTACCGCTTTGCTTTGAAACGAGCGAAAAAACAACATATTGTTATATTCACAAAATTAACCAATCGGTTGTTTCTCCACGGCGTTATTGCTTTTCGAATAAAACCACCAGAAACGCCGTGTCGTGCCGGTATGGCAAACAAGACACGCGCGTAAAAATCACATTACAAGAGAAATGTCGTCACGCTCTTTTGCTGCTCCGGCGGCTCGTACAAAATCAGACTCTCCGCAGTAAAGCAAATTTTGTGCGTCCCGTTATAACATCGACCGAATCTCAGCGCATTCTTCGATCCGGGTCATGGCTTCGTTTACAGTGGCCAATTTTTTGCTGACATTCTTAGATCACACACTTGTTACTCGTTCGGAACCAAAGTTGAACACACTCGTTCGCGTGCGAACTTGGTTTGTTCGAGAGTCTCTAAATGCTCACTGAACGGTGACGGTCTCCGTCATCCGTGAAATCGAATGAAGCATTTTATAGATAATAACGAAGAAAGATCGTTGTACTACAGTTCGAATAAATTATTTGGTTCATTTATTTACGCGTTCAAAATCCCAGTCACATGTAAATGTTTGCTGTCTTTTTATCTCGCGCGTTAGAAGCACGGGATTTTGTTATATCGAGATCCTAGTTTTGCCACCCCCGGCGCAATCGCACAACTAGAAAGTTATGGAAGGAATAAAAAAATTCAGCCTTAACTTCCCTTTCTCCGGCGTTACGTAATAATTAAGAGTTGAAATAGACATTACACACACACACACATACAGTCTATCTAATATATATATATATATATATAGCGCGATGATACGTTGTTAAAATAATTCTTTGTAAAAATATAAGTTTTCTTGTTGCAATACATGCAAAAATAAATTTGCTCAATAGCGAGATCTCTTCTACGCGCGCGATCCGCTATACAAATTCTGTACAATTTTATCTGTTGAGCTCGAATTTACAGTTATCATTGTTTTGATGGAATGCGGCAATCCTTTCCTGTTTTATGGCAACGCCATGGGAGTAGGACCGTAGCGCAGCCAAACCCGGAAAGACCTCGACTGGTTTGTAGTACGACGCGATTTGGCGACTATATCTCGCGATTCCTTGTGCGCGCGTGTATATACATTCCTTTCGCGATCAAACAAATCAAATTTATGCGCAATATGAGAAAAACCTGGGAGACCCGCGATTTTTACTTGTCGTAAAATATCTCGCAGGTGTTGTCAATAAACACATTCGTCGGACGAACACGAAAATTAGAAAACAGATGCTAATTTTTGTTTACATTATGATTTTACAATGCATGATTTGTATCGTCCGCATATTTACGAAACTTTTTTTTGCGCACGCGTCTCATTTTGCAATCATTATTATTGCGAAAACGTTTTTCTTGCGACATTCGTAATTTATTTTTAATTTTATAAACGAGTATTGAAATATTTGTGGAGAAAAATAATGTGTTTTGTGATCTAATTATTCCAATTATCGTGCAGCTTGTATTTGCGAGATGTGACGGAAATAATAATCTATTCGCAGAATTATTAAGCGAAATACAACATTAAATATCTAGTCAAACAGGTTGAATTAATTCGCTCTTTCGCTCAACTCACTGTTTATAATATCGTAAAAAAGAATATACATACATACATCTACGTGTTTAACGACAACTGAGACGTTTTAACGCGCTTATGTGCACGCTTTCAAGATATAATTTTTTTTTTAAGTTGATGTGAAAAAAAGTCGGTTTGAGCTTTTCCAACGCGAGAAATTATTACACTCACATATCGCGCGCTCTAACTTTATTTATAAATTACACTTTCTTACAACAAAGCTGATCTTTTTGCTGTTTCTTTCTGTATCCTGACCTTGTTTGTACCGTTTTTTTTTGTTTTTAAATCATTTAAATGCTATTAAAAATCACATGTATATTATATGTGTTTTTCAAAAAGTCGAAAAAAAAGACTACAAAATAATCCGGGACACGTATGTTGTTAATTATTGAAGTTCTCTTAGTTAATTAATAAAAGATTGGTGTTCTATACGTTTGCTTGATCAAACCGATGCTTCGAGTTGCGGCGCGGCGATGAAATGGAATTATTACTTGCCGATAGAGGGTTAAATGCGCGTTTAACACAATAGCATATTCGCGGCACGGCGGTTTTAGCCGGCGGTTGCATTCGATTTAATCTCGACGCATTTTATTGTCTAAGTAAATCCCGTTGCACAAGCGAGAGGCGATTTTGTCGTTGCAACACGCTCTCTCGGTCTAGCGAAACTCTTCACCGGCGGCGGCGCGAGCTCGCGCCGCGCCGGTTGCTTTAGGAGTACTTGTGAAATGAAGCAAATGCACTTTCACCCGGCATTTTGCGTTTCGCAATCTCCTCACTTACAATCCGGTCGCGCGGCATCTCCGCATCGCTCCGGCCGCAACGCGTGGATCGGTCTGTCTTTCTCTTGCTCGACGCGAACGAAAGCAATTCCGCTCACAAACGGAATGCACGCGTTTTGTTTGTTGCTGTCCTAAATTTGTCACACGACGATCACCGCGGAATGAATTTTCGCCGCTTTACCACTACACGTTAACGCTTCCACTCAAGACAAGACGATCAAACACTTTCGACTTCAACGTTACGCGACTACGCCGCGATACCTTCGTAATTATATGCGAACGGACGCGCTATTCCTTGTGCGTACACACATACATTTATTAACATAAATACATTTTATTACTTTGTATAGGAATTATTCGATGAAATTAAAGATTAAACTTAATTCGAAAAACGCAAGTTTTAATCAGATATTGTGAACGCGGTGTGGTTTCGGATCGGCGAGCTCGCTGAAGACGTCCAGATTGCGAACGTACGCGTTAATATAAGCGCGACGAGACTGACTTTTAACTTGTGAGAATACAAAACCAGAGAAAACTGTGTTAATTGGCACGTAAGTTACACGTATCCTGTCGCAAATTACCGAAACCTACGCGGTTTACATTTTCTGATTCGAACAATTATAACGGCATCGCGCCGAGTTTTTTTTCTTTTTTTTTTCCCCGTTCGCGAAATATTTACCACAGTCAAACGGAATGATGTCATCGGGTTTTGGTACCGTTATATCTAACGAACGTATTTTTCAGACGTTTAACCGCGGACCGTACAAACGGAACATGGAAGGAAGGAGGAAGCGACGTCGGATGCAAGAGTTTGAACGAGGAGCGAAGGTAAGGTCGTCGACTCGCAATCGGTCTCTCCCTTCCCTCTCTTCTTCTCTCTCTCTCTTTCTCTCTCTCTCTCTTTTTCTCTCTCTCTCTCTCTTTCTCCCTCTTGAGAAGATATAAACGTTTATCGACCGCGCGTAAACATCGAGCGATATCACGAGTAAGAACGAGCGGGGCGGAAAGAAATTCGAAAGTGACCGGTGAAAGTGCTTCGAACCGCGCGCGCCTCTCTCGCGCACAGGCACGTGGCTTGCAGCGTCAGCGAGCGTGGCACAACTTCACACGAGCGAACTTCCTTCACCATCATCTCCTCGTCGTCGTCTTCGTCGTTGTTGTCGTCATTCTTCATCTGCCTTCACCTGTCGTTGCACCTTCCTACTCGTTGTCCCGGATCATGTCCCGCACCGCCGAGCGACCTTTATATTTTCTTTCTGTACCCTGACCTTTGTGCGTTGCGGCGGTCGTGGAAGCAAGAGAAGGAGGGGGTTCAACCGGAAAAATTGACTCAGAAGATCCTCGTGCGCTTCTCTTCCACCGCTTGAACTTTGCTCGTCAGACAGGAGGTGCTATTTCGATCGCGGATCTTTTGCTATCCTCCTTTTATTGAAATTTCCGCCTCCACGGAGGAACCGTTACTCGACGCGCTCTGTACCCTATTATGGTGACACGCCTTAGTTCATCAGCGAGCGCGCGTACTGAGGGAAAAGTTCTCGGCGTTAAAAAAAAAATACTCATGCTTGTGTAATAAAATATACTCATATATATTCGGAAATTAATTATAATTTATGATATATTCAGACAAAATATGTTTTATAGCTATTGTAATTCGATGTAACATGTGTTTTTCGACAATAAAAGTTTTATGACGTGGCGATTTCCATGACAATGTAGTTTGCGCTGAACACTGCTACACACGTGCAATTGCACGTACACACTGCACAGTGTTTTTTTTTGTCGACACGCATCTTTTGTACCATTTCGAGCGCACATGGTGCGCCTTTGCAATTCGAGCTCATATTGCGATTTTAATAGAACGTATGTCGTACCGAGAAAAATTGCGAGTGAGCGCGTTGTCATTAATATTGCGCCAACAATGAAAAGAAGAGGAAAGCTATACGAGCGGTAAAAAAAATGCTCGTAAACGAATATTCACATGGGACTGCAATTACAAAAAAAATTTGTTTCTACTTTATTCGCTATTACGTTGTATATTTCGAGAGTCTTGTGCTCTGCAAGATCAAGCAATTCAATTCAGCTTCTAGAGTCTGAAAGTCGCAGGCTGAAAGGAACTGCTGCTCCTATATACAATTTCGCATAGTGCAAATCTTGCAAACGCAGATAAGCCGGGAGTATCGAATAACGCTTGACAGCTGCATATATAACTGTAACCAGCTGATGAATGAGGAACGCATCAGTGCCGATAATACACACGTTAGGCGGACGCCCCGAAACGAAAAGTCTCCCATTCCCCGCGCACCGTGTCTAATTTAATTGCTTAGTAATTGCTAAAATTATCATTGAAGTAATGAAGTACACGGTGAAGTTGTTTGGGGAAACATGGGCACATGTACATATCTGTACACAACATTTTATTTAGTTACTGTGTTTATATGCAGAATTTATTCGCGCGTGATTCCTAACTTCCGCCGGAGTTCATAGATACGCGCTATGATACTACGGCTACCGAAATTAATTAACTTTCCAACCGACTAGTCCCTTTTCCCTTCGTCGGCATAAAGCCTTCAGCGAATTTATATTACAAGAAAAAACATGACGCGCGCGCGTTGTACGTGCACGGATTAATTCCGTACTATGAAATATGTGAAGCTTCTCGATATCGAAATATTCCGATATTCGGATTTTATTATACGATTTTATTATACGGTATGTAAAAGGCTGGCGTAATACCATTAGAGTAGTAATAGTAATGACACAAGCGCGGAGCGGTTCTAAAACAGAGATCCCGACTACGACACGTCAAAACATTTCGTCCAGTTTCTCGTTATTAAATTTTTAATTTGATCTTTTTTTCGGTTTTAATTTTTTTTTTTTTTTTAATCGAAACTCGGTCGATCATTGAAATTGAAGTGTCCAATGTGAAATTGCTAACTAGTTTTTTTAAAAGTTGAAATGCAAAAGTAAATAGTTTTCTAGCGGGATAACGTGACTATTTTCAGATTGTACGTAATAGATGAGATTTGCTGTGTATAATAGATTAGGTTATGCTAGAAATGAAGATTTGCTATAAAATTTGCTATAAATTAGCAATTGCCACGAGGTTCTTTCTCACATTGAAAAAAAAAAAAAAAAACAAACTTTTTGACCAACCTTTTATATGTTCTACACGCATGAGAAATTGTTCTACGTACGAGAGAATTTTTTCTTATTGCGTCCATTTTTGCGAAAACCGACAGCTTTCTATCGACATTGACAGAATCGACAGAATCTACACGAAGAAGCATGTCATTGTCGAACAATCTGCGCATGTGTGTCGCAGATAAATTCCCGCGGATGTTACCCACATTGTCGCGCTTCTCGCTCCTCACGGCGATCGGAGTTGAAGATGAGCGAGATTGTTGTCCGCAACTATTGAGAACGGTCGCCCGTACGTTTACGTCGGAATTCCCAGATTGGGATTCCCCGAGAAAACGCCGGGACCCATTATTATACCACGGGCAAAGTGGGCTGTGATGTTATATTCTCGTGCGAAATGTCGAATGTCGGCATACACTACGGTGCATTAATGCCTTCCGGAGGGGAAATTCAACATGCGTAGAGAAAGAGAGAGAGAAAGAGAGAAGGAAAGCCTCTACTTTCTCTCCGAAAAAAAATTAATGCACACCGCAGTGTGCCAAAATGTTTGCAAACTTATTTGCAACGATTTATATATAACATATTACAAACATTTCAGTAGGAAAATCAATACTTTGAGAAATGACATCATAGATTATTCTGGGAAAAGAACAATTATATGGATGTGAATTTTATTTCAGACAAATTATTGAGCTGCTTGAGTGCGACGATACATTGACAGTAAATAGATATTCTATCTATTTATTGTTTGTACTAATTTTTACTTAAATAACAATTCTGTTATGTACAATAAATTTCTGTTACGATTTAAGAATTAAATTTTCAAAGATTGCACCGCCAATCACGCAGTTCGCGCTTCTCACTCGAGAAGATGACGTGTTGATCTGTCTACTACAGAGCTTTCATGCGGTACATGGCATCCAATATGCGAAACGAGCAATTCGTCTCGTGTATTCGCGGATTGCTATGTATTTTCAGTATTACATAGTTCCAGCTTGACGTCCTAGTGTTGACGTCCTGGCCATAGTACCACACATTAACCGCATCAATCAGTTCCGTGCGAACTATTTACACACGTACGCGCACTGACTATAGAAACGCGTCAATAAAAATTAAATGTAAAGCCAATGTGTGTAACACACACTCCTCTAAATGTGCATTACCGCGTGGTTGATGCAAGCTCAATATTTGTGAAAATTCTAATTCCGGTGACAAGTCTGAATATAAAGATACATATATGCATATGTGTACCGAACAAATATGCAATTTAATTTAAAATTCACGAAATATCGATTCGAGGTCCATATGAACCGGCATAATACCGTCACTTCGCGAACAATCGCGATAAAATGCGTGAATGCACGCGTATATACATGTATACACGCATGCGTCGTCGTCGCACGCACACGAATGGAGTAATGATAATGTGAATATAATGACGACATTGCCACGGGTTAATAGCCTGCTCCGTTGGCTACGTTTCGTGATCGCGCGTTTGTACACTGGCGTGTTGAGCATATATATATACACACACACACATACACACATTATATATCATATATATATGATATATAGTGTGTTGAAATTCGATACCGCGATGCAGCGAACTGTCTCGAACGGTTTTTTTCGTGCGAGAAATACGTTCCGAAGATCACCGACAGAAAAGCGTGACTTGGTTCCGACTGTGACACGCGCGCACGTGCTTTTTTTCTACGTCATATCATCGATCGAAACGTTGTCGAATATTAAGCAAAATGTTTTTATATTCGTATCGATATATTGGACGGACTTAAAAGCGTTTAGTTTCATTTGTTAATTAAAAAACAAAAAAATTCTTCTTATAACAATGTTTTACAAAATTCTTTTTATAAAAGAATTTTAATCAGCGATATGTATTTCACATTAGCTTGTATTACTCAATTAACTCGTCAGATAATTTAAATATAATGTTTTGTGTACACGAAATTTGACTTGTCTTTAAAAAAAAATAATTAATTTCCTACAATGCTTAAAAAGTTTCTTTTTAAATCATATACTGCAAAACGATCTTTTAATAAACCGTTACTGGGGATCGTTACGCGTACGGAAGATTATATTTTGCTGTTTTTCAGCAGCATTGCTTTCAAAATTATTATTACTCCGCGTTGTTTTTCGCCATGAACATAAATGCACGATATTCATATACACATATGTACGTGATTTTTCGACGTATCTGCATTCCGTAATTATCGCGCGTTAATCTTGTTTTGCCATTTGCGTTCCACCGTGCAACCCAACGATTTGAAAATATTTTGGCAACCAAATTACGTTACGATAAGATAATACATAGTAGACACACGTGTGTGTGTATCAAACACGGATTGAAAGATTACTGAACTGTCATTCCGATAATGCTTGTGAATTGTTTATAAATCGAGTAATTGCAAGAAAATAATCATTTAATTGCAATTGACTGTGTCGAGAATACGAGAGAAAGCTCCGGGATTTATCCGTAATTTCATACTTTTATATTTTTACTTTCTCCCGATATTATGGAAATATTTTCGCGCGATGATTACACAAGGTCAATATGGAAATTAACTTCTATTTTTATGCTTAACAAAAGCCGCAAAAAACAATTCTCGTATAAAAGTTGCAATAGAGAATTGTGGAGAAAGAAGATTTTGCAAAACCTAAATTTCTCTGTGGATTTTTTTATCTCCGTATTTTTTTCTCATACATTTTTCTCAAGCAATATTATGTTACACATATTTCATATTACTCCGTAGATTGCGGTGAACCACGGCAAATGTTTTATTTATTTCCTAATATGAGATGATTTATATTCTTGTACGAAAATTTGTGATCAATGCGGCTGTATGTCGTCTAGTTATTTCAACTGGTGTGCGCTTACGTATGTACGTAGCGAACTTCGCACACAAATCTAATAACTTACAACAATTGTATCATCAGCGAAAAGAAAGGTCTCTCTGTTTTGGCAGAGATAATGATTTCAGGACGACGAACTGAAACTGTAACTTGAATCCAAGGTTAAAAGAACGTCACACACACAGTCATTAGCATTTAATGTAGAACTCAAGCTACATGCGTCGCTCATACCCTCAAGTTTTGTGTGTGACGTTCTTTTAAGGGTTTCTCACATTGCAAGAGAGAAAATCTCTTGGAAATCTTTTATCATAATCTCCTTGCATTTGCATAACTAGCTCTTTGTTCTATTGAAAGCTGTGTGAACACGCTTTTACGAGATTTATTGAAAGAAAAAAAAATCTAAGTTGCTAATTATGCTGTGAAATTGAATTTAACGAGTAAACGTGCGCGCACATTTACTCCTTAAATAAGATTTGCGAGAGAAAGGTAGATAATGTGTGCGTATGTGTGTGTTATTTTACATAAGTACAATTTTTTGTAACTATTATTGTATCAATATTGTCGCGCGATATTCGAACAAACGTGTAATGATAAAGGAAAGATTTACGTAAGACTTACGTAATTGGGAATGACAAGCACTAGCTTGCGATCTAATCTGATTTTTCTCTGGTTTTCTGTTGCAGGGTACGATGAGCTTAACTAAACGCATAGACGAGATCAGATTGCTCGAATCACGCAAGAGCGCCCGACTGGCCGATCAGGACACAGATTTCGCCAGACTTGCCGATATGGCTGGCGATCGTAAGCGAGCGTCCTCTCACTCTATCGACGTGCCACATGTAATGGCGTAAGTTTGTCTCCTTTTTCCTATCACTTATGTCTGGAATGCTTTTATATCGGGACGGCAGATAAGATCGCACGTAACAGTCTCACACCGTTTCGATACAAATAAAAACTTAGGTTTTTTTTTATAAAAAAAGAAAAACATTGTTTAGAAGCAATTCGCACATCGCCACATGGATAGAGATATACGATTTCACTTTGATAATTGTGTAAATTTCACGCATCTACTCGATTTTAACCTTAAAAAAGCCATTCAAACGCAACGTCTCAAATTTCCGTGAAATATTATATCTCTCGCTGATGTCATGTGTATCGTATGGTAATACTATATGTAATATTTTGAAGGTAGTTTTTGTTTGTTTGTTTGTTTGTTTTTTTTTTAAGAGAAAGAGAGAGATATTTCTCGGAATTGTGTTGCGGTATAACCGAAGTTAAATAAAACGATAGTTAAAAGATAAAACATATACGGTGAACGTGTCACATACGTTTCGGAACTATAATCATTGCCTTATCCATTTGTCATATTTATCATCAACGCCTATTTATCTTATATTTGATTGTAAGCAACGTTACCACTTCTTTACGTTACACACACGGTGTGATAATATTATCGAATATATATACGTTTTCCCAGAGTAAACCCCGCTGGCTCCTGTACCTTCTTCTTTCACAAACGCATGCATTCCCTTCTAAAACCTCTCCCTTTTGCGAAGATTCAAAGTAACGTGAGTATATAATTTCTTCAGCGCATATATTCGTATACGCAATAGAAGTAAAGACAAATTTAAGTAAACTGCGGAACAAATTGAGTTCGACAAATGAAAAATATTTCAGGATCGACTTTCTATTGATCAGTTTTATGAAAATTTGTTGCTTTTTGACACTTTGAAGTGAGAACAAAGAAGCAGAATTTGTTTTTTCGTATTGTCAGACAATAAAAATGCGCCTTGTCGGACACCCCCCAAGTAGCTATATTATTTTTTTTTTTTTTTTTTTCAAAAGTAATTTCGTTTGAAATTTTTCTTCTCTTTGCCACAATGAGACAAAAAAATTCCGTTGTTGATTCTTTGTTTTGTTAGTTTCTTTGTTGTCACAATAGGAGAATAACCGAAAAGCGAAATTGTTTCCATCAATTTCAAGTTGCAATGTTTTTTTTTTATTTATTATGTTGACATTTTCCTAGATGCTTCACATTCAATGTGAAATGTCACGCGATTTGTTAGTTTCTTTCTTTTTCTTTTCATGAATAATCCTACTTAAATAGAATCTATTCTTCCTCTTTCTCTCTTTTTCTCTCACATCCGCTCCAAGATAATTTGTAAGATTACTTGTCTGAAAAACAGTTAATTTCTTATTCCACCTATAGTCTCATGCGACAGGAAGTTTTTCTAAACCTCATTCCTTTGAACTGTGTCTGGAACACAGGACTTGTGATCCTCATTATATCAGAAAAAATTTCCTTGCCATTTCTCTCTATCGCGCATTGTCCATATTTCTTCAAAGGGGATACAATGGCCACAAAAACATGCCGACCGATGAATTCTCGGAAGGTCGAAGATCTTTTCATTTTTTGTTTTTTTTCTTAGTTACATGCAATCAATAGACGGAAAATACTTTGAAAAAAAAAAAGACATTTGCATCCGGCGAAGGTAGGAAAAAAAATCACTAGTATTTTTGGCAGAATATGCACGCACTCGACCCTGGCACGATTTGTTCCATGTGAAAGGTCATTAAGAGAAGTGAAATACCTGCCTTTTGAGGAAAGTCCGATGATTGATGACGAAAAGCGTCGTCACATTTAGCTATTATTTGTACTAGTAAACTTTGTCTACGTTTGTCTTTGTTATTCATTGTTGACTTTAGTGTCAAGTAACAAAATCTGGTCTCGCGTAACATACATGTTATATTGTGCATTTACTGACAGATTTAATCAATCTCGGAAACGCAACCTCATTCGGGATTTCAACTCTAGAATTGATCCGTTTATTTTACAAATAGTTTTTTTAAAGGTTTGTTTAGTATTTTCTCGAGTATATTTCGGATCCGTAAAAGAAAATAGCTTTTAAATATGGAGTTCACTTGTGATTGTAACCATATAAGAGTCGACAACCAAGTTAAAAGAAGCTGGTTTGCATAAGAAGCCTCGAGTGACTTGCGCCAAGGTATTTCTCCGTTACGTCGCGTCGTATATAAGAGACTCCGTTTATTCTTTCCATACCTTTCACACACGCGCGCTCTCTCGCGCGCCACATGGAATACCTGAGCGGGTGCGGGTTAGCGATAATTGATGCAACCGGTGGTGACTTGAGCAACGTAGCATTTTTTCTCTCTCTCTCTCTCTCTCGCTCTCTTTCTTTCTCTTGTCTCGTTACGTAATTTCGGTGTGATCTCGGTGCGAAAACAATAATCGACATGTGGCACGCGAAATTTTCGTACTCGATTCTTGGCCGCGCGACCACTTTGTTTGTAACCGCTAGCCCGTGGCGAGAACAATCAACGTTGCGCACGATAAACGGAAGCGGCAAGTAGCCACGCCGCGCGCTAATAAACGCGAGGTCCGCGTGCGGGATGCACGCACGATTTTACGTCTTCTCGCGGAATACACTTTTAGACCGTCGTTGCACACGTTACTCGTTCCCGATAAAAAGTAAAACGCGAGAAGATCGAGAGCGCGCGAATGACACGCAAGATGGAGACGGACAGAGTAGGTAGATAGGTATGTACGCGCGCGAGGAAATATATACAGTAAGTGTGTGAACGGTAGTCGCGAGGACGAACGACACGAATAGACGCGGGATGTGAATAATTTGAAATATAACTTCCTCGGCTGTGTGTGCGCGAATCTCCTAAGCCCACGTCAACAGTGAGCGCAGTGAGTCAGTAGGTTAGCTTACGTAATTTCGGACGGCGGTCTCCTCTCTCCGCCGTCGTCGGTGAAGCGGCGGCTCGACTTGGTCGGGAATTAGGTCGATCAATACCGCGACCGGCTATATAGGTCAGGTGCACTACCACGCGCCGCGTATGCGAGGCGCTTGTCCCCCTTCCCCGACACCCTAGCAACCCCCGAGTACCACCCATACCGTCACGAGCCATCCACCCGTTTGCCGCCGGGACACAAAACCTACCACTCCCGCTTTCAACTCGAAACTCGGCCATTCCCTACTTTCGTTCTCTCGCATCATCTCTCCCGCTTTACTTCCCCCCGCGTTATGCCGCGTTAACGCGTTAATTGACTCTAATCAACGCCGGAGCACCAATTCCCGCTAATTCCTGCGAGAGATCGAATTAGGTGGTTCTTGGTTATCTGTCGTCTCTGCGTGCAGCGCGCGAAATTCGCCTGGAATGCGCCTCGAAATGTTCATTGTTGCTTGTTCTGATAAATCGTTCGGGAAGAATGCGGAACGGGAGAGATTGAACATCTGTCTCTCGTTTATTTGTGTTTCCGTTCGATCGAGTTAACACTACGACATTGAAAATATTTTCGCGAAACGGAGGAGATGTACGTGAGGCGCACGTCAGTATAGAGCGCTTCGTACGCGAATGCTGTGTATGTCCGTCCCGTAAGTCGAATCCGTATTAGTCATTAAGGCATCGATAGAGTCAGGTAGAAAAAAACGTTTGCGAAAAAGATTTCGAGCGATCATTCGTCAAATATGAATGATCGAGCGTCCGAATTCGCAACCCGGTTGCCTTCATCCGAAACGCGCTGAAGCACAGCTATATTGAGACCTGACCTAGACCAACGGCGTTCTTCTCGAGCAACACGAAAGTCGTGTGGAGCTACTCGAGACCGAAGAAGCTAGAAACATTACAGAACTATCTGCAGCGAATTACAATCTAGATATACACGCACACACACATTTTGCCAAGGTCCCGGCGCGACAGACTATGCCAGCGTTTGATCTTGACCTACACCGCGTGCGTCATGCAGGTGTCATTTTTAGTCATACAGCGGCCTCGCGAGAGCCATTGTCTCTTATTCGCAAGAGAAAAAGTGCAGATACGAGCGAATTATGTAAAAACGTCGCGCGCGGACCGCATTATCAGCGTGTTGCAAAGAGACACACATCTATAAATCCCGAAGTTGGAAGCCGAGCTATCGCGCGACGGAACCGACCGACCGAGCGTCAGTTGATACAGCACCATAGATCATTCGTGCAAGCCAGCAAGGTGTAATACCGGTCTTCGCGGTTGTTAAACGCCGCTCCCTCATTCATATTTCACTGTTTCGCTATCGGCGGTAGCGTGACGTCATCCATCGACCGCGAGTAGACAGGTGGACAGTGCAACGTGTTTTCAGTTTGTCGAACATAATCGCTGGTATCTGTGAATACGGAAGTCGCGCGCCATCGCCGTCAACGCGCCTTGCAGCGCGATGAGATGTTTCGGGGTGTCGAGGCGGCGGTGATGCGCGCGGTGGGTGGCGTTAAGGTGGCTAAACAAACTGTGTAGGTCGTGCCAGACTGGGGCCGCGGATCTAGGTCGATCGATACAGCTACGTATCTACCGGCGCGGAGAGTCGTGTCGATTAAATGGGTCAGGTACACGACGAGGAACCGCGCGCTTTGTTTTCATCCCGTTTTATTCTCTTTTCCGCTGCCGCCGCTTTGTGGCATATCGTGTATGCATTTACGCCTCGGCGTTTACGCGGCGATTATCTGACGAAATAGTATCTATTTTTGTTGACGCGCGAAAAATGGGGAAGAGATGATGAAGAATTCAGAGAAACGTGGAGAGCGAGAAGATAGGGACAAAGAAGAAGATTTGTGTTACGATGTTCTCGGTCTCCTTCCCTACATAGGTCAAGGGGTAGGTTACTGTCTAGCCGATGGCAAATCTAGGGCAATGAAACGGCTACACGTGCCACCCAGCACATATATATATATATATATATATATTGCAACATTGTGTGCACCCACGACGTCGCGTGCACACGGAGGTGTGGGAGAATGCGAAGACCTTGTTCGGAGAAACTTTTCTTTCGAAGGATCACTGAGTGCATAA